AAAAAAAAAAAAAAAAACTAAAAGCATCAATTATTGCAGCAAATTCCTAAGAAATGAAGCAAACTTCAGACGATGTTAACACACACATGCATAGAAAGGGGAGCAAAGTATGAAACCTAGTATAATACCTGAACCAGACACCTCGGGTGCAATGCAATTTTATCTGTGGCTATATCAACTTTGAACCAGTCAACAGCTATGAGCTTGAGAAGGGGATCTGCACCCATTACCTGTGAAAAGGTTTATATCATTACTTAATTGTTCTCTCCAGAATGCACAATATCTCAGCAAGAATAAAGAATGTAACGCACACATCACAAGCATACTAAAACCAACAGGAGGAAGGCTGTCAGATATGACATAGAAAGAAAGTAGCTTATTCAACAAAGAAATAAAAAGAAAGTTCTATTTATAAGGACAAGCTGCAATTTCTAAATTGTATTTAAAGCTGCAGGTGTGTGCAACAGAAAACTCATTAAGCCAAGATAATTACAGTTAAAAGCAACCAAAGACCTCATACAATAAGAAAGGTAAAACTAATAAAAGGCTCAATGTAATAATAACTCAAACAAAGCACATGAAACTGCAGAACTAAACAAGAGGTTCTCAACTTTGAAAGCAAATAAACAACACAACAGTAAGACAGCAAATTCTGCTAATGTATACCCATGTATAGCCATTTGCAGTCAATTATTCAATTTTAGAAACCAGACCAGCCAAGATTAGATAAAAGGACCTGAAATTCATTCCCACCTCGAATTAATGAGAACTGGCAAGTAGAAGCATGGATATCAACTGAGGATGAGAACAGATATGCACCAAGCAGAGACCAACTATCATTTCAATTTGTATCTCATTTTGCCATAATAACATACCAGAAAATCTTATTTTAAGCTTTGATGATAGAAGATAATGAGATAGAATGCACTCAAAACAAACAAAACAACAAGGACAATATATGTCAAATGATTTTGAAGAAAAGAAAAACTCACCTTGGCATTATCTTTTAAGTAAGTCTTTCCTCTGATCATAAATCCCCTACCACTAGGAGAAGTCCAACAATTTGTGTCAGCCTCATCCTTTCCTTTGTGGAGGGAACCATTGAATTGACTTGCATCAATATGGACAGGAGGTACACTAGGATCTAATTCCTTATTTGCATCTGGAGCTGCATCCATAGTAACCTAATATTTAGTATACTTAATAGCTCATGATGAAATTAAGGATAAGACATTGTTTAAGCCATTAAGCTATATTCTTTGTTACTGACACAACACCAAAAAAGAAAACAGAATGCATGACTCAATAGCAAAAGATTTCCTAGATAAAATCTTCCTTTTCAAATATAAAGTTAAATGTACAGCTAGAAAGTCTTTCCCAAATCCCAATACAAATTTTAAGAAAAGAAAGAACCTGAAGCTCGCTTCAAAGCTAAGCTTGAGATGGCCCAAGATACATTCTTCAGCTTAATTTTCCTTTCCTGATAACGTTGAGAGCAAACTATCAATAATAGAGGTTTTCAAGAAAACAATTAATAATTGGGTTACACCAATCCAACTAATAGTGCAACCAATTTTAACTCTTATTTTCGAAGGAGAAGGAGACACTTTTGTATTCCAATGTGGCAAAGCAAAAAGGGATTACCTTGCCTGCACCACCCTCGCTGTCTTCATCCTCTGATGATGATGAAGAATCACCAGCAATTGCATCATAAAATTCATCCTGCAATTCTACATCCTCAAACTCACCACTGGAAATTGAAACATCAGAAAGTTTTGATTGGACAATGGTGGAAGATTCCCACTTGAGTGATGGATTTGCTCCAATATATTCCTTTAAACCTGAAATAAGATTTACAGAAAACATAACTGACACTAAGTGAGCATGGCATAAATGATACCAGTGACAAAATCCAGCAGGTTTTGAGAATTAGCTTCCAATATTGTTCTTTACAATAATTCTTGAAATTTGTCATCTATGTTCTAGCTGTTGCTTGCAACCTTGTCTGTGTGAAATGTGAGGAAATAAAAGTACTCCTTTCTAGTCATACTGACAGAAAGTCACGCCAATGTACTCTCATAATAACCCCATAAAGTGGTTGACACAAACATTAATGTTGTCCAATAGAATCTATCGTTGCAGAGATAAATGAAAGTGGTCCTTCCTGCCCTATATCACAGAGGTCCTAGGAATAGGAAAAACAGTTGCACGCAGCGGAGATGAATGAAGTTAGGTTGTCTTAACTGATCAAGTCTCCAAAAATGCACAAAAAATTTTGTAAGTCCACCTGTCTAACAGGGATCTCAGACCTGATTTGCTGAGACAACATAATTCTAGATGTCTCTACGCCATTAATTGTTAGTATCAGATCATAAGTCAGATAATAAAGACTTGGTTAGATAACTCAACCTGCAACTTGGGATAATAAAGCATATGGGATGGTCTTTTCAAACTTTGAGCAGCTATTTTTCTTCCATCGACACCAACCGGCACTATGAATCTCCAACATCTGCGTCACAAGGCATTTTGCAGTGTTTGAACCCATGGGTGCATTTAAACTTCTAATCTCCCAAGTAGACGCTGCCATTCATATATATATACATATATATTACAAACAGAAATAAACAAGATTTATAACAAGCACAAGGTCTCCTTCCTAATGAAATCTATGAAAGAGTCATCCCGCAATGCTCCACAGCCATAAGCACCACCTTTTGAATAATCAAGTTGCCACAGAACATATTTAACCTCTAAAAGCAGAATTTGGTGCTACCAATAGAATTTATAATAAAAGTAATCACATTCATGGATCAATCAATCCCTTCAAAATTTGAAGTACCTAGAGAGACTACAAAGATCCAAAGAAGAAAATAGCATTTCCTCTTCTGTTAAATGCACAAAGCAATCAAGCGATAGAGATCAACAAATGCTTCAGACATAAAATACTTAACCAACTAAGAATACAAATCCTTACGATTAATTGTTGTACGTCGGTATCCAGATCTTGGAGGCTGCTTCTTATGTACAGCTGGAAATTGCAAAATTGCTGCCATAGAAATTATATCATACGTGAGCCAAGTAGAGGCAAGAAACATTTTGATTTTCATATAAATAGACTAAATATTATTAGCATATTCTCTTACTGTATGCTCCGTCTTGCCCTCGAAACCATTGCCTAGAGAAGACAAAATCTCTCTTGGATTGCCATCTAGAAATCACGTAGTAGGACAAATAAATGCCAGCCGATGACAAAAGAGACGATAGACTCATGCTAATTTGATTAACCGAGGAACCTAATATTGTTTGGCCTTCAAGAATCCTTTTTAATGAGTAAAATAAATGCTGAGAATACATCAAACCTATCAGAAGTACAAACTTTGGACATGCTTGATAAAAACTAATTGATATCTTAACTGCATATGCACGACACATTGTTGGCAAACAGTTTTGCAAAGAGAACAATAAGTAGTACATTCTGCAAAAATTACCGGGTAAGATATTTTGGATCATATGTTCCATGGACAACATCATAGTGTCCATCATAAGAATCTATCAGCTCCAAGTCACCTGTCAACATATCCCACCTGTGAAGATAGTTAGTAGAGCAAACTTGACTCACTGGGAAATATGAAATCAACAAATATAGGTGGAACAACTTACTCATATCTTTTATGGCGATCCAGATTTAAGATTACTTCAAAAACAGTATCTGCACTTGCATCTACCAGAGCAACAGCCTTCACAAGAGCACCTTTTCCACTCTACAAATAATCCAAAGAACATTTAAAGAGCTTGAGTCATTCATCTGATGAAGACAAATTGTGAAACTTTGATATTGTTAGGGAACATAAGGAAAATTGTGCTCAATGATAACTTTAAGGTGAAAGAAACCTGCTGCAACAAACACAGGCACTGAGATATTTTAGATCTATAAGTTCAATGCACAATACCTGTAAACTGCATGTTTTGCATTGACCTAAACAAATCAACATTTAAGTATTTGATGATACAGGAGGAAACTGGATTAAGTTTTTGACTGCTATACCAGTTCATCTAAAGTTGTATTATATCTGAAATGTTCCTGTACACATTTTCTTTGACAAAGTGAACGGGATAAGGCTAAATTTCTAATAAGTATGTGGGAGAATCTATCAAGATGCTTTTGCTAAAGGAAAAAAAAAAAAAGAAATAATAAGTATGATCGTATTGATACCTTCGAATCAGCCACATCCTCAAAGATTCTAACACCTGAAACCAAACAGAAAGCAAATGATTAGATGGTGATAAATAAATTATTTCTCCATTAGGACCATTCCATATTCTTAGCATATTGAGAGACTCAAAATAACATATCTTTTATAAGTAGTGAAATCTTTCATTTTTCACATCTTAAAGAGAAGAAATTTTCAAATCTTATTTCAACATGCTCAGAACCAGCCTGATCACATGATAAAGCTACAGCATGTCTCAGAAATAGAATGATTAAAGGTCATGAATAGATTGCAGTAAACTATTAATAGTGAGAGTATGAGGCTTACACCATTATAGTTTTTCTAGTTCTGTATGGATTAATGTCTGCATTGCTTTTATATACATATATCATTGCTCCAATCCAAAAGGTTCAATTTTATTGGTACCCTTACACTTTCTTATCTTGCCATTTTTCTTTTGGATTAATGGAATTTCATTTACCAAAAAAAAAAAGGTATAAGAAGTATACCATTGATTGTACGAACACATTTCCATTCATGTGCTTCAATTGCATCTCCAAACTCCCCTTCAAAGTATCCATCTGATGTACCATTACCACCCAAGTTGGAAGTTTGCCGCAAAAGCATCTCCGGACCTATGAACAGCCAAAATAAAAGAAAACTAAAAACTCAACTCAGCACTAAAATTATTATCTTGAGTTGAAAATTTTTAACATATACTCATTAGAAATATCAAAAGTTATCATATTGAAATGCCAGATAATACAATTAGAATTACAATTGCATAGTCTTTGTTAAAGGTTTATTTATATTTCAAAAATAAATAGAAAAGAGCCTCAAGGAGGAAAACCTTTTTGGACAGAAAAGGTCCTTCGTATAAATAAATTCCAAAATTTAGCTGTCAATTTCCTAGCACATTTTCTGGCTTGAATATGACACAATAATCTTTTTCCAATTTCACAAATCATCAATTTTCATAATAAATTTTGTTCAAGGTTCTTCTATGTCCTTCACATGACAACAATGATTAATATGCCACCTCTGAATGTCCTAATACCAAGGTATCTTCAAATTTAAGAAATCATTATCTTGATTTACAACATGTCACAAAGCTTAATTTCTCAAAAGTCTCCAATTGAACTAACTTGAGATGCACACTTAATTTTTTTATTACCTTCATTTAAGGTGCAAAAATCTGCCAAGACTCAAGCTAAAATACACCAAACATGCAATAGTGCCTATGTGATGCAGCATACTCTTTATTGAAGACTTAAGGATGAAGCATTTAGCTTACAATGATGTTGACCGCAAATTTATTGATAATACCTAAAAGGTGCACTTAATAAACTGCATTTGAAACAATTTCACATAACAATTTATGTGAGGAAACATGCTAACTATGATGCATTAAGAGGTTATTTTATACCACAAAGTGGATACTAAGAAATCTTCTTTAACAATTAAAAGTTTTATAAGAAAATGACAAACCAAAATTCTCTTTTTGAACCTTAAAAAATGCAATGGCCAAAAATCAAAATGATGGCATATACCAACTCACCTTGTCCAATTCTTATAAGCTTTTTTAGCCCATGCGCATACCGCCTTACTCGAGGTCGATGGCCTTCTAAATCAATACTTCAGAATAAAACAGGCAGAGTAATTTATTTTTCTTTTAGAAAAAAAGATGTGGGAAAAACTAAAGTATGATACATAGAAGCATGTAGGATTTCATAGTTATACTGCATTTAATTTTCTCACAGATAAGTATACTTCCATCTTCTCTTCTCAACCTATCAAATGGTATCTATTAATGGAATTTTCCCTCAATCTTCATAAATGCAATCAGTTACCCACAAAATTTATCTAACATCAGTCTTTAATCATTAAGAAATTCAAGTAAGACTACCATAGCAAGATAGATAGGAAAAATGGCTTACTCAGCCTCCATGTATAATTTGTTTCTGGTACTACCTCCTGTTGAAAGTTCATACTCAGCCTGTCCAAATAGGTAGCAAGTTATGTCAATACATAAGAAAAAATCATGAGGGCCAAAAAAATTCTTATCTTCTAAGAAGCAACCACATATATGAACTAAGCCGTTTTAACTGACTCCCTAGTACCTGTTGCTTGGCATGATCAAATGCCTCCATCCATTTTCGAGCTTCTCCAACTGTGGAGCACGCAATCTTGGAGCAGAAAAAATATAAGTTAGTCATGAGCCACTTCAGCGCACAAGAAAAGAATATCTAACTTTAATAAGAAAGAAAAGTGACTCCAAGAGCTAATCATCAGCAGAGATAAGTGGAAAGTTCCCACTGCCCTATTCTATGGAGTAGACATTATTGGAAAACCAACAAAATGCTTCATTAATTTACTATATGACATGGTTTTACAGCTATGATTTTAAGAAACAAATAAAATATGGTTTTTGATTACTGAAACAATGACAATTCTGGGAACAAGGTAATCAGGATTCTAGAGCAAATTATAGTCACAAAGACAGATAAAGGAGGTTTTCGTTTTGACTGTTGTAGGAGAATGGGGGGCCATTATCTCTTCCTTGGCACCATGGTTCAAAGATGGCTTGTTGTCACACCCAATGGCAGTTTGAATTTGAAAAGAACAAAGTGATTCTGCCCGTTAGTTTTAACCAGTAACAGATAGCTTTCCAAAGTGATTCAGTTGCACTTTAAGAATAAACATCAAGCAAGGAGAAAGGAAAAAAAAAAGGAAAAGATAAGTCAATTAGGTATTATTTTACTAGGATGCCTGTAGAAATTGTAGACTCTCCTCAAGGTCCCTCGAAGCATCACACGTGGTTCTCAAGGTTCAAGAGTTCTGGACAACCCTCAATTGTAGTATTATACAACGCTAGCATTACTTAGATTAGACTCCCAAGTTATCAAAACTTTGGAACTGGACATATTACATGCAAAATGAGGGGCTTTGATATCTAATTGGCTTATAAAACACAAATTTTATTTCTACCCCAAGATTATTTTCTCACCAATCAGTAAGCACACCAGATTACCAGGCTGACATTTGTCCTACAGAATAATCCTAAAACTTTCTCAGTGAATTTCGTGCTACTCAACCTTACACCCATCAGCTTTTTGCAAATAAGTTTACTTATCTAACCCCCTCATTATGTTCTTTCAAAAGAGCTACTGTCATAATCACATCTTTCCCTTCAACATTACATACTAGGCCAGAGGAAGTACTTATAAACCCTCATGCAGTCACAGAACCAAGTTACAGCATTTGATATCTTAACATGTTTCAAAATTCATTGTAGGGGGTGAAGGAAAAAGTGAGCCAAGACAGACATGCTATCACCCAAAACATTTCTATAACCTGTAACCCACAATTTCCAGCTCAACAAACTCAAAGATTATACATACGAACAGAATGTCATATGTCATATACAATGAAAGCCAATATCGAGCAAGTATTATCAGTACAATTATGCGAAACAAACTTACTTCTCCTTTCTTGGACTCATCCAATCGATTGTAGAACTGTATAACATATAGATCCTACAAATGTTTAACAAAAGAAAACCATAAAGCACAGCATTGAGCTTCATTATTGATTGACCATAAAACATTAAAAAAACCAATAGAGAAGAAAACCATGAAGTGGACCAACTTCACAAAACAGTTTAGACAATCAAAGACCCAAAAGAAAAAGGGGAAAAGAGAACTGGAAAAGAAGAAGGAGAACCACAATGTACCACCTGAGAGCAAAGTAAAAGAAAAAAAAGTTGTCAAATAATAACAATAAATAAATCAAATGACAACTAATACAGAAGTACCCCATTATTGACTGGGCGACGCCCTAACTCCACCATCAGTGTAGGTCCTATCACACCCTTCCTGATTGGTCTCTGGACAAGGTAACATATTAGCAACCAAGACTAGAATACATAAACAATTAAATTTGAAGAGTTCTCTGACACACATAAATTAAGCAGTTGTTCCTTCATGCACATTGGCAATGGATGCCATCATAGCTATGAAAAACATGCAACAGAATAAAATAGAAATTTTCCATATATAATATTGAATTTGAAGATCTCTCATACAGAACGATTATAATAAACATATAAATAAATAAAGAATCTCCTTTAAAGGCAGTTAGAAACAAAACAACCTTGAAATTGAACTTTGTAACTGTAGATCTAAGTGAGTTGTGACTTACAAATAACAGATGACAGTCCTACTGTCAAAGGCCCCAACATTGCAACCCATAAATTGGGTAAGAGATCTTTAAAAGCCAAATTTCATAACATTATAACAAGAAGTTAAATTCTATTAAAACTGAAAAGGGAACTTCTAAAGAATACAACAGTGAAGCAATGTTAGTTAAATTATGTGATCATTAAAAAGATCACATATTATCTAGCACGATAATATATGTCATTTAGTTTCACTTTTGATAGCCTCACTGTATCTTGTTGAACATTGCTTTATGAACTTTAATCAGCTTCCTACAAACAAAAATGCATCTAGCATTCTAAGAATTGCACTCTCTTTGAAGGATGCCCTGGAAGCAAGTATGTCAATTCCACACAAAAAGTTATACGTTCTCCTTCCTCCTTCATTTTTATGTTTAATTTAGTACATGATTTTCTCATCCAAGAAAACAAAAAGCCGCATGTACGGGAATCAGTACGACTCATGAAGGTTATATAGACTTCACAATCAGAAATGTGTTTAACCTTCTTTCTCTTCCTATGCTTACGATAAATTAGCTAAAGGCAGCCATGTATACCAGCTCAGTTTACTAATTCAGCAAAATTTAGGAGATATATCAAATATTTGGACCCCAAACTCAACAACCTCAAATCTTCATCTCCCTAATTAATCTTAATCCGTTCACTAAACCACCGTAATTAGAAATAAAACTTATTTCCAAGTCAATAAACTTTCAGCTGTCAATAATTAATATCCTGCAACAGCTCAAGAATCCATAACGAAATAAATCAAAATTTCACCATACTTTAGATTAAAAAACCCCCTGGAAAATAAGCATATCTACATTGCCTCGACTAGACAACAATCACAAGCTGCAATATATTCAAAACAAAAGAGGGAAAAAAAAAAGGATGACGTAACGTACAATGCCGGGGTTCTCGTGAGGATCTCTTTTATACATTTCAACGTATTTGCCCTTTATAAAGAGGAAGCGAAGATGGCAATACTCGTGGCCGATCGAGTTGACTCCTATATGATACACCCACCCGAAATATTCAAAAATCCCCCTCTCATCCCCGCCATAGCTGATGCTTCTGCTATGCCTATGTTTATGACCGCCGCTATTGTTTCTGTTATTGTTGTCGTTGCTGCTGCTTCCGGTGCTGCCATCCGACCCTTCTTTCTCATGTCTTCCCTCGCCTCCCGCCTTCTTCAACGCCGTCGTTGTTTCCATATTCCAAATTGTCCGTTCCAATGAAAGGGGAAAAAAATATTAATTCGTGTTTAATTTATTAAATCAGAAGCTTTTTTTCCTTGAATCATAAAAATAGTTTTGTTTTTATTTGATTGAGAGCGGATCTGAGGAAGGGAAAGATAAGCAGAGACTGGTCAGGAGGACGGAGGAAGCAAGATGAATATTGCTGTTGTCACCATTTTTTATTTTTTATTTTTTCCCCCGTTTTCGAACCTAGTTGGCAATGTGGGGTCCATTCTGCTGGTTTCTGCCTCAATTGACTAAACTTGTAGAGGGGCGAATTTGGTAAAAACCCCAAAGAAGTCAACGTCGCTGAGAAAAATTTGTCTCTTTCGAACATTGGTCTTGCCACGTGGTCAGATATTCGTTCACGATCTTGCCGCATCACTAGTGTTTGGTCTTTTATATGGCGTGGCAAGATCGGGTTGGATGATTTGGGACTGTCGGTAATAGGCGAAGACCCACTCCCATGAGACGGAGAGTGACTTTTACATCTCAAATTTTCAACGACCGCTTCATCCCCTATTTATTGTTCATTACGAAATGGGGGAAATTACAAAATTGGGCCGGTAGAACGGAAATAATAATTGGTTACTACGATGGCAAAACATATTTATTTATTATGAAGGAAAAATGTCGAGTTGCAAAATTAATGAAGAAATTGCTTTTACTTTATATTTAAAAAAATTTCAAAATTATATATGACTGTTTAAATTAAATTTTTATTTTAAATTAAATAAATTTTTAAAATTAACAAAAATATAACTTATTTTTTAAATTTAATAATTATTATTATTTTTTACTCATGTGACATGTTGATTATTTTGACAATAAGTAAGATTATTAATAGCTTGAATGTCAAAATCATAATAAAATTTCAATTCCTCTCGTAAGATTATTGATAGCTTGAATGTCAAAATCATAATAAAATTTCAATTCCTCTCTTTTTCTTTTAATTGAAATAATTTTTAAAAATTCCCTTTTTTCCAAATTTAAAAGAAAGGGATATGTAAACTATCGTGCGGCATGCACACCCGTTAGTCATGAGGGTCAAAATAGTAAAAGCAATTCCCTATGTACCAATTTCGTAATTTGGCATTTCCTTGATAATAAGTATTATTGGCCATGGTAGTATAACCAATGCATTGTTATAACTCCACCGTCCCAATTTGTAAATCCCCCAATAATGAAAAAGCTTGGGTCTTTACGTATCATTGTTAATGTTTTTTTGGTTGGTAACCCTTTGATCGAGTCTCCTTAATTTATAAGGGAAAAGAAAGCTCTGTTGATTTATTTTCCTTACATGAAAAGTGTTCTTGCATTAAGTACTCCTTCGTCAAAGACCTGCAACAACTTTCCCTGGAAGCTTTTTCCTGTCGTGAGTCAATTTTGTACAGTCACCAAGTAAGAGTGGAAAAAAATAATAAAATAGCAGTGCTGATTAATACTCTAATACGATAATATCAGACATTGTCAGTTCGGAAATTATCTCTTAAAAACTTCCAAAATTCAGGACATGTAATAATTCCTAACCTTGTTGATTTGTGCTTTGTGTATTCAATCTTCTGACCTTTCAAATCCAACTGTTTGGTCTAGAAGGATGATCTGTCTTTTCTTCATTTGGTGAAGAACTAGGATGCCGACACATCCCCAACTTTGATTTAATTCGTTTTTCCGTTTCCAACACTATTTTGTGTGGTTGTTGGTTGGGCATCGTAGCCAAGGACCTTCCTTAATAACTGTAAATAAATGATAACATTTCAAGCCACAAATTTAGAATCAGTTCCGTATACCCTAATTAAGAAATTGCTTTTCCAAAGTGTAGATGTATAATTCTGTGGAATAATGCATTCTTTTATGGAAGGAAAGCGATGATGGGACCATATGAGCAAAGCAGATATTATATATTGACTTTTTCAAGAGCTAATAGTGGGAAACCACGCAAAGCAGGACTGAGAATGCTCGGATATTGTCATATGGATGCAAATTCCCAGTAGGGAATGACATCTGGTTGTCTAGTCGTGTCCACCAGGATTTTATGATCTTTCACTTCATAATGGACCAGCTGGTGGACAAGTGCTCTACCCACCAAAGTTCTCAAGCAGTCCTGCATGTGCGCCTCTTTAGTTTTGTTTGGTTTTGTCAAGCAGGAACCGCCTTTCCCTTGGCTGGGACAGCGGTGCATGTGTTTATACGTAAAACCAGCTAGGCCAATGGCAACCCACCTTCACTTTAAAAATTTGTGATCTCATCGGCTTCGTTGGGCATAGCCGAGCCAAGGTCCTGAATCAAACAGGTCCATCAGGACGCCACGTACAAGTGTTTTGTTACCAGAAAGAATGATACTATAAAATCATCCATCCTAATGGCCTTCCTACGGTTATCAAATTGATCAGTACTAAACCTAGGCATGCTCGTCAGAGTTTAGGTGACCTTGGCAGAGTGAAAAAAAGAGGCGCAGGTCTGACCTTCGTATGCAAATTCTGATTAAAAAATGGCATCTTCATCGTCTTTCTGTCCTCTCTGTTTTGGTTTCGTCGTTTTCAGCATCATCCTGATAACCCTACAAGCTGATTTGAGGAATTTTCCTGAGTACTCAGTTTTCCCATATTCCCATCAGCTTCACTAGAAATTCCAGTCCATATTTTGTGTCTCGGTGTCTAACCAAGCATGTGCAGCAGCGTAGCTTCCACGTTCAACTAATGCAGCTCCTTGATGAAAGAGGGTGTGGACACCATTATCAACTTATCATCTGCATCAGTTGACCCGCCCTGTACCATCGCATGATATGTACAAACAGTAGTAGTTTATTTCATTAATTCATTAATGCACATTCAACCCAATGTAAAACTTTCACCCTGGTTGCTGCTAAGTCTGGAAGGTGAACAATCATCAAGTGATAACTCTTCTTTCAGTTGGTGATATTCAGCAAATTAAGGTATGGCGGCCCGTTTGTTTAGAGAAGACTCCATATCTTTGCACAATATGGCGACAAACACGCATCGTGATAACTGGAAAATTTAGTATTCCCCCACAATAAGACTTAACTTGGAGAAAAACAAGACATCATAAGGACAAGACATTGAATGATGACAAAGTGGTGGCTGATTGCCTAACAACAAGTCAAAGATGAACAGTCCTATAGCTGGAGAAAACGAGATGCTTCATTTCAAATGGCTTTCCTAATACTGACTTGAACAGCCACGTGCACTCGCGTAAGGTTTGTATATGCCTCAGATGTTTAAGCAGCATTTCCTATTTTAGACCACATTACAAAGTCTGACAGGGTTTTGGAAGTTACCTGGTAAATCGCAATCTAAAAAATCTGCAACACTGACATATGAAAAACACAGGAAAAGCAGGTAACGAACAAGTAGGGAAATGTCAAGCTAGAAAAGCAATGCGTACAAAAAGAAAGAAATATTGACCAAAACTCTGGAATTCGAAGATAAAACATAAAAGAAAAATATTACATATCATAGTATATATCTTCCATGAGCATCTTGATTCCTTAAGACAAATTAAAGGTCCAAATGTACTCGGCAACGTTATTTAAGAACACCATTTTCTGTCGTAGACGTGTCTTCCCTCTCGCCCCACCAATTCTATCAGCATCAAGCCATATCAATGCCTCTTTCACGTGGGGGCTCCAATGGCAGCATGCAGACATAGAGAGGATTCCACGTTGGGCAGAAGATGAAAGCTGACAGAAATTTGACCAAACCAAGAGAGAAAATCCACGAACCAAGACTCTTGTCAATCCAGAATAGGATTCAAATACAAACCTTCTTTTGAGCGGTTGAGCTCTGTAGCACAGTGTCCGGTTCCAGTTAATTGCTAGTTAAACGGGCCTTAAGAAGCCCACAACCTTCCGATTACTTTGTAACGAGTATGGGCTTGTTATTGCCCGTTAACAATTAAGTTTTTAATTATCCATGTTTTGATATCAATTTGTCCAGTTTAGTTTTTCTTTAGCATTATGTTTGAAAAATTTTTTAGATTAGTTAAGAAAATTTAAAAAAGTTATAAAATTTTATTATATTTAATTAAATATTTATATTTTTATTTTAAATTAAATAAATTTTTAATAATTAATTAATTTTTATCAATTAAACTATATGTTATCATTTTATATTAATATATTATTAATGTGGCGTTTATTCTAAAGTGAATAATATTATATGATTAGGTTATCATATCATATTAAAATATTATTTTATTATTAATTATAATTTTTTAACATATTACGTTAGCGTCACGTGATATAGTATGATAAATATTATTTTAATTAAATTAATAATTAATTATAATAACTAATTTAACTTAAAATAAAAATAAAAATATTTATTTGATTAAATATAAAAATATAAAAACTTAATTAAACATAATAAAATAATATGAGTTTATTTAAATTTTCTTTAATAGTTTAAATTTTTTTAAAAATCTTATACTGTTTTCTTTTTACATGTTAAGCTTGGATTTAAATTGATCCAATAATTTTATGTTTTGTCTTTTCAAAATTTCTTTGTATTCAAATTATTTCGAATTCAAACCAATTTAAAAATTTGACAAATAATTTTTATAATCAATCCAAGTTGCATTAAAATAAATTTTCTAGCAATTTGTGTATGTCTTTTAAGATTTGATCAATTTTTGCTACATTTCACTATACAAATTTTTTATCATCCAAAACTTCTTAAATTATAATTGATTTTGGGTTTATGTCACTTTAAGGGTTCATCATGCTTGTTTATTACATTAACCTTTTTAGTAATTTCGAGTTGAGTCAACGATAAGTGAAGCAAAATAACTAAATTTTGTCAAAATAATAATTAAAAAAAAAAGTCTTCCATTTACTCATTAGTGGGTAGAGTTTTTTGTTGCCCTTAACAAGTTCTAATATTTTTATTTTTTTAATAATATTTTAAGGATATTTTAATCTGTTAAAAAAATTTCAATAAATTTTTTATTATTATATTTAATTAAGTTTTTAAATTTTTATTTTAAATTAAATAGTATTTTGACTTAATTAATTATTAAGTATAAAAACTTATTTAATTTAAAATAAACATATAAAATTTATTTAATTCAAAATAAAAATAAAAATATAATTAAAAATAATAAAAAAATAAGAATATATTTAAGAATTCAAAAAATTTTAAATATTATTTTTATTTTAAATTTTACTGGAATTTTGGGTTTTGCCGACTCTGTAAGCTAGTCTTTATTACACTTCTAAATAAAAAGAGCAAAAAGAAAAGACAGGTCGTCCATGTAACCAATGAAACAGCTACACGTAAGCCATGACCCTATTCTCACCCTGGGGCTTAGGCGGTGCAAGAGAATAATTACATATTTCCTATTTCCAAAGAAATCCTGATTCCCATCAAACAAGCATTGAAAACCTATTATAAATATCGCCATCGCATCTCTAAATTTCGTACCATCGCATTGGAATTTCATTTGTCTGTAGCGTTTCTTTACCCCTTCTAAAATCCAATGGCAATGGCGATTCTTCGCCCCGAAGAGTGTGTAGGTAATCGTTTACGCCACGAAACCCTGCGCCTAGCTCGTCCTATGAGATCTCCTGGAATCCCTAACCCTGACACGATCAAACCTAAATCTAGCAATGGTGGTTCTAACGCTCGTCGTAGGAAGAGGAGTTCAGCTGGGTTCCAATCGAATAACAGAAGACAATCCGAATCCATGGTGGTCAAATCGCCTGGGAAGAATCTGGTGATGGGCGAGGTCAAGATCCTTAAACGCGGGGAAAAGTTGATCCCCGCCACTCAGAAGACAAATCGTGCAAGGATCCACGGATCGAGTGGTGAAGAGGAGTCTGATTTGGCGTTGGGGTCCACGAACCGGTTGGGTCCAGATCCTGAAACGATGCAAAAGCAAATTAAGCTCAAGGAATTCAAGATTTGTAACGATACTTTTGCCGGTTCTAATTCTGTTTCGCCGCCGCCCAGTTCGCTTCCGGTCCCTGGTTTTTTGGGAAAGACCGAAAGAACATCCTCGTAATTGTTGCGGCGATCATTAGAGCTGGTTTCTGTATGATTTCCATTAGAAAAATCAGGAGATTGGAATTAGCTTTGGGTTTACTGTGGAATTTATTGCTACTGTATCGCATATTCTTCCTTTATTTTTTCAAGAGGAAGAGTACTGAGGAAGGAGTAGAAGAATCAGTACTAGTCAGTGCCTTCCGTCGTGTCTTTGTCTGCTTGATTAGGTGATTGTTTGTCTAGTGAAAGACATGTATTTAGGTATTGCGTTGTTTTTCCATGATTCAATATGTACTGCCAATTATCACTTTGATTTGGTGTAACTACTATTAATTTAGTGATATTGTTGTAGGCTTAGTAGAGAAACTTGCAACCTTCCTTTCCTTCAATTGTTAGCGTCAATTTTCCTTCTCTGGTTTTTATGGTTAGAACACTAAAATGCTTTTGAAAATGGTACGTTGGATGCTGGTTGTTAGCTGTAATGAGCATGATTAACTGAGATATGAATGAAGGCAAGAATTAATTAGTAAAATACTGACTCGTTCCAGTTGCCACTGAATCCTGACAGCAACAAGAAGTTTTGAGATTTAGGTAGTGTTGTTCCAATGCATTGTTCAGATTCCTCTGGGGCCATTGAATGCTCAGGCTTTATAAATCAGGACTCGTGCCAGTTGCCATTTAATCCTTACGGCAACAAGAAGCTTTGAAATTCAGGGAGTGTTTTTCCAACGCATTGTTGTATTCCACCGGCGCCAGTGAATGCTCAGGCAGGGCTTGAAAAAGGATTTGATCTTGCTCTGTTGGTCATTTCTACGGGAAGAAGGTGTTTTTGATGATGAAGTCGAACGAAATGCAAGTTCGGCCTATGGGACCAGAATTCTGAAATGGGCTTTAAACAAGTCCAGATGCTTTCGCACGATGAATTGCAGGCCGTAGCTGTTCAGTAACTAATTTGGAGAGTTCTAATTTGAGAAAGTTAAGTAAATCCTGCCACCGTTAAAATAGAATCTGTTTAATACTATTATTTGATTGGGTTTCAAGGCTTGAAGTGCTCTGGTCCTGCTCCAAGCTTAAAGGACTGGGCCGCAAACATTCAGAAGGCCATAAGCCCATATTTCAAGTTTTTCTCCCCGTCAACCCGCCTCGGGGAAATACCGTATTTTTAAAATAAAATAAATTAGAGAAGATGACATATACGTATTTAAAGTACGGGAAGAAATAGAGGCAGGCAAAGCAAATATATTGCCGCCAAACAATTGCGCCTAGTAAACAATTTAGAATCTGACTCTCACTTCCTCTCAGTTTCTCTGCTACCGGATTCAAAAGCTCTCTCTTAAAAGCTCGAAAAGAAAGCAATGGCGAGTTCACCATCTCAGGCTGTTGCAGAAGCTGAATCTCAGCTCTCTTCTCTCGTCTATGGTTCATTCTCTTCGTCACTTTCTTTCTCTTCCTTCCTCCAATAATCACTTTCATTAGGGTTCTGATTTCAAACTACATTAAATATTCTCTGTTATTATGTGATTTCTACTTGAAATCATCGCATGTCTGAAAAATTCACGCTGAAGAAATGCATTTCGTTATTATTATTTACCTGCGCAATTCAAATTGTATAACCAACAAAGTGAAACGTGAGGATCTTGGCCTGAATCAGTTTTTAATTGCATAATTTCTAGAGATCTGTTGCCATCCTTGTATTTCTCTGGCTTTTATATACCTTAGAGGATTATAAGTTGAGCAGACAAATTTCATTTATACAAATACGTGCTTATAAAGTTTTTTACAAAGTTTTTTTTTCTCGCATCGTGTAATTTTCCGTATATAGATATTTATTTGTATCAGAATAATAGACGGTAACTTGTATTTAATTAATGCAGATATGTCGCAACACGTTCAGACGGCAATGGAGAACATGCTTAAGATGATAAGGTTAGTATCATGAATGTAACTTAGTCTGGTAAACACTGTCGATGTGGAACTTATTTTGGAAAATTTGTTATTATTTTTCTTTCTTCATTTTAACTTCAGCTTTCTTTCCAGAATTACACAAAGAAATAATTGGTGTATTATCATGTAAACAAATTTCTTCTTTTTCTTGTTCTCTGCATTTTTGTCGGTGTCATTTTTGGTCTCATTGCACTATCTTTGCTTTATTTTGTTTGTCTGAGAAACTGTGTTTTCGAGAATAGATATCTGCTGACTTTGTTTTCATTTTTCGATTTTGTTGTCTCCTTAGCGAATAAGCTGATACTTTTTATGGAAGTGAAACAGTTTCATCTGTGCTACTATGCTTTTGCCGTATAATATTCTCTGTTTATCAATTACCTAATGCTGCAAAAAAACTCAGGAATCATGGCTTTTATGTCACTTTTCCTATGCTTTTTTATTCACTTATAATGCTGCAATAAGTTTATGGCAAAGAACATTTATTTGTTAAACCCATACAGTCCCGTATTCTGTTGTACTTCTCCAAGATTGTTCAATCTTTATTTTTCAGATCCAGCATTTCTTCACTCCCTCATTCTTTAGATTCTGGGAGACAGGTTTAATCAAATCATTAGCTTGTTGCAAACACCATATTTCACCTGAAAATTAAGTTTTATTTACCTTTTAAATTAAAATTCTGCAGTGAAATTGATCAGAACTCTTCAGGAGTAAGGGAAGAGATAGAGAAGTGCAAAGACTCTGCTCTTGAAAGGAAGAAAGGTTTGGAGGAAGAGAAGGAGCGGCTTCAGAAAGCTGCGTACACTATTTTGGACATGCTGAGTAACAGAGATTGAAAATTGTAATCTCTGTAGTTATCATCACCACTTTTCCATTATTTTGTGGGGAACATAATAACTGAAGATAGGTTAATATTAGTGTTGAAGCTTAAGCCCAATGGCTAAACTTTGCATTGCCTCCTCTGTCCACAAATGAATGCATGCACACACAGACAACCGTTTATACAAACATGCAGCTGTATT